TTAATTCCCCAAGCAGTGTGTCCACACTGAGGGGTTCTTACGGTAGCTTTAAAGGCCGGTGCTTGATCAGGGTGCTCACTCTGGTCTGCGGCCTTTTACCTGTAAATTTCTGCAAAAAGTGCCTCCTGTGAAATCTTGACTTGTGTTTCGACTGTGCAGGCTTGCACAAAACGTCTGTCTGCGTTCTGGGTTCATTCTGGAGCGCGGCATTTTTCCTGTAAATTTCCGTCATAAAGTGGCTCTTGTGAAATCTTGACATGCCTTTCGACTGCGCAGGGTCGCACAAAACGTGTGTCCGCGTTCTGGGCTCATTTTGGTCTGCGGCATTTTACCTGTAAATTTCGCATGGCTGTTGTGAAATCTTGAATTGCATTTCAACGGTGCAGGCTCGCGCAAAGTGTGTGTCCGCGTTCTGGGTTCGATCCGGGGCGGGGGGTGTGGCATTTTTCCTGTAAATTTTGGTATAACCTGGCTTGTGTGAGATCTCCAAGTGAATTTAAAAAAGGAGCTCCCAAAAGTTGGTGTCTGCGTTTCTGGGCTCACGCCGCACTCGAGTATTTTTCCTTATCTTCCTCCTTCTCCACATCCTCATCCTCATCCCTCATCCTCATCCTCCTCAACATCATCATCCTCCTGCACCTCATCCTCAATATCATCATCCTCAACATCACCGTCTGCAACATCATCATCATCATCATCATCATCACCACATCATCATCATCATCGTCATCATCATCATCATCATCGTCATCATCATCATCATCATCATCATCATCATCCACGTTATCATGCATTATCCTCCCACCACCCCCACACTGTTTGGGGTCCCTTGCCGGGATAATATCACGTGAATCCAGATAAACTTAACAGTATTATGTGTCTTTTTGAATCACCGGTTCTGCAGCATACATTTGGAGGCACGACGCAGCAATGAGGTTGAGGCGAACAGAAACAGATTCCAGAGACCTAGGGAAACCACAGGTTCATTGCATAACCCATCCAAGCATGGACACTTGACACAAACAAGTGTCTGTATATGTAAATATATATATGTATATATATATGTGTATTTATATATATATATATGTATAATTTATTATGTATATATGTAGTTATTATGCATATATGTATATTACATGTAAATATGAATATATGTATATATGTATATATACATATATGTTTATATGTATATATGTATATATGTATATGTGTATATATGTATATATGTATATATGTATATGTGTATATATGTATAGTACATGTATATATGTATAATAAATATATATATGTAAAACATGTACTACATATATATGTATACAAATATGCTATTCTTTTCTATTCTATTTTTTTTATTATACTACATTATATTTTAAGTATCGCATTAAATTACTATATTATAGTTATACCTTTTGTTTTTATTTTGTATTTTATCGAATTATTTTGTATTTTATCGAATTATTTTGTTTTCCACCATATTATATTTTATTAGATAAGATCATATTATATTTTATTTTATTCTGTTAGATTATATTTTCTTATATTTTGCATTTTATTATTTAGTAATATTTTATAATACATGTTTTATATTATATTAAAATCTATCTAATTTTATTTTTTGTTTAAATCATAACGTATGTTTTCTATTTTTAATGTTTTACTATTTAATATAAAATATTTTTTATTTTCATTTTATGATATAATACATGGGTTTATGTTTTAATATTATAGTATATTAATTTATAGTATTATATTTTATTATATTTCCCTACCTGCCAGGTGAGGGTTGTTAGATTTTATCAGAGCTGTTCTCTTCCTCCTCGGCTAGCTCTCCTCTTCCTCCTTCTCCTCCTCCGCCGCCTCCTCCGCCAGTTTCTCCCCGACCATGTCTGCATCAACTTCCACCTGAACTCATCGACCATGTCTGCATCAACTTCCACCTCAACTTCCGCCTTTCCAACTCTTTGCCAAGCTCTTTGCCAACTTCCCAGCTCAACCTGGGACATTCCCAGCGCAATGTGCACCGCTGGACCTCAACCTGGGACATTCCCAGCGCAATGTGCACCGCTGGACCTCAACCTGGGACCTTCCGAGCTCAGTGTGCACCGCTGGACCTCAACCTGGGACCTGCCCAGCTCAGTGTGCACCGCTGGACCTCAACGGCCAGATAGAATGCCAGAAGATATGCCAGATAGAAAGCTATAAGATATGCCAGATAGAATGCCAGAAGATATGCCAGATAGAATGCCAAAAGATATGACAGATAGAATGCCAGAAGGTATGCCAGATAGAATGCCAGATCAAATGTCAGATAGAATGCCAGAAGATATGCCAGATAAAGCGCCATAATGTTTGCCAGATAGAATGCCAGAAGATTCGCCAGATAATATGCCAGAAGATATGCCAGATAGAATGCCAGATAGAATGCCGGAAGATATGCCAGAACATATGCCAGAAGATACGCCAGGTAGAATGCCAGAAGATATGCCAGATAGAATGCCAGATAAAGTGCCAGAATGTTTGCCAGATAGAATGCCAGAAAATTTGCCAGATAATATGCCAGATAGAATGCCAGATAGAATGCCAGAAGATATGCCAGAACATATGCCAGAAGATATGCCAGGTAGAATGCCAGAAGATATGCCAGATAGAATGCCAGAAGATATGCCAGATAGAATACCAGAAGGTATGCCAGATAGAATGCCAGATAAAATGTTAGATAGAATGCCAGAAGATTTGCCAGCAACAACATGTATAAATGTCATGATGGGGATCACGCGAAGTAAAGTAATTTATGTTATTATACGATATTTTTGTTTTAATATATTGCATGTTTTGTGTTGTATTATTTTGTATTGTCGAAGGAAGTTTAGAAGTCAAACTTCCGACAATGAGTAGAAGAGAGCAGATCAGAGAAGAGAAAGAGTCAAAAGAAAGAAGATGCAGATGCGCGAAAAGGTAAGAAAGTCGCGAAACACTGTGTTTTTCCCATGATTTGTGGCTCCGGAGGGTCGAAAAGTAGGCTCGCTAAAGCGGCGGGTGCGGAGTCATCTGGCCAGATGAGAGATGAAAAAGTGCACGCCGTTGTGGCGCGAAGCACATTTCGAAGTCAAAATGTTAAAAACACACCAGCGTCGGACCACTTTTGGAAGTTGCGATGTCGAAAAAGTGCACGCCGTTGTGGCGCGAAGCACATTTCCAAGCCAAAATGTACAAAACACCTCTTAGAAGTTGCGATGTCGAAAAACTGCACGCCGTCGTGGCGCGAAGCACATTTCGAAGTCAAAATGTACAAAACACACCACGTACGGACCACTTTTGGACGTTCAGAGCTCGTTTCGCGTGGCAGGCGCAAGGGATTGTGCACCTTCTCAAAAGTGAGCAAAACGTGAGGGTTTTGTAGCATTGCCAAAAACGATGGCAGGCGTGGGACATTTAAAGAGGATCTGCAAAGATGCATTTTCCGTGGCGGGCGCAGTACAAGAGACATGCTCATCAGAGCTGTTAGGCGGTCAGGGCGCTGATTTCCTGAGAGAGGTTGCATTTTGGAGCATCAGATCTTCAGGTTTGCTGAGATGATTTTGCGTGACAGGCACAGCACTTCGTATGACCTGGCATCACTTTTTCGTGGCAGGCGCAATACTTTCGACAGGTGGACTGGAAAAATCGCAAAAGTCAACTTTCCATTTTTGAAGGGAGTCTCGCAGAATTGCTTCGTTTTTGATGTTGTCAAGGGTGAAAAATGAAGAAGTCTCGCAGAATTGCTTCGTTTTTGACGCTGTTAAGTTCAAAAATTGAGGAAGTCTCGCAGAATTGTTTCGTTTTTGACGTTGTTAAGTTCAAAAATGAAGGAAGTCTCGCAGAATTGCTTCGTTTTTGATGTTGTCAATTGTCAACTTTGAAAAATGAAGACATCTCGCAGAATTGCTTCGTTTTCAAGCTTGCAAATAGACAGGTAGATAGAAAGACAGACAGACAGATAGATAGATAGATGGATAGATAGGTAGATAGGTAGATAGATAGATAGACAGATAGATAGATCGGTAGGTAGGTAGGTAGATAATCAGAGAAAGAGAGAGAGAGAGAGAGAGGAGACCTCAACCACCTTTCGATCCATCAGTGGCTTCGCTCTGCCATCCGTGATTCACAACAACCAACCTCTCCTATAGATTTCCTATTTTTGAAACTTCCGCCACCGCCTTGTGCGGTACTACTGGTATTATAGTTTATTATTTCATATTGTATTGTATTATTTGATCTTACATTATGCTTCATTTTATTATGTTCGATCGTATCATATCATATTAAATGTGTTTCTATTATATTAAGTTACGCTATATCATTATATATTATAATATTTTATATTATATAGTTATTTAAATAATTTTTGCATCGGCCCGAAGTGGGCAGACACCATCGTGCTTTCACCAGGCACAGCTGCGCGCTTGCAGCCTCACAATGGGAGATCGCTTGGAAACGTTGAGAAACCGCGTTTCACAAATGCTAGAACAATGGTTTTAAGGCAGAGGGTTGTACTTCCATCGAGAACTGAAAGGTGAAATCCCGTGGTCACCAAAAAAGGCTGACGCTGTGCAGGTGATGTGAGAAAAACCGTTGTGCCGGCTGGTACTGTCTGAAATTGGAGGGTGACGTGTTTCCAATTCTTAAGAAATTGTTTCCAAAACCACGGTTTTCCATGGCATGTTTGTTTGCGGGTGATAAAAGTCTGATGGCAACTGAACTGTCCGGCATGGTCAAGCTTCAAAGGAACCTGAACCGGCATTTGTCAAATTCAAACCTCTTGTGCTCATTGTATGACGCAGTTTGTAGCTTCATAGGAGCAAGCAAATATCAAGCAGGAAAATCTCAGATAGTCTCTCAGACTCAGGGCACGGTTTTCTTTTGTTTATTGCGAGATGTATGGCCAAAGTTGGAAGTTGGTGGATCCAACCGGTTCTTTTTCCATCCAACCAGTTAGACTGGTGATCCAACAGGACTTCTTTTGTAGTGCCACCCCTTCAGCTATTCAAGCCGGGCGTTTGCCGTCATTCAGTGCCTGAGCCAAAGCTGCTAGATGTTTTTTCGGAGAAGGGAAAGTAGGAAAAGTCATCAAATCCCCGGTTTTTTCATGTGTTTTTGAAGGAATTAAATATGATTTGAATATGTCAAAAATGGACAAAACAGCATCATTTTTGAACGTCCTCGGAAAACATGTGTCTAGTGAAGTTTTTCTGAGGCCGAGCCTTGGGTCCCTCCTGAAAGGACTGGAGTGGGCCGAGTTTGGAATGACGAAACAGAAAATAACCTGCAGATACCTGCAGAGTCGAAAGTGATCCTAAGCCAAGAGAAGTTGGTCCCGGACAAAATTTGTTGGTCACAAGAATTCTTTGATCAAAAAAGAACAAGGTATGGCTCTATCAAAAGCCATTGCAAAGGTATTACTCCGGGCATTCTCAAGATTTGAAGCGCTCTGTAACCCCTTTTGACATTTTTTGACTAACAATTCCAAAAAATGCACAAAGCGCAAACCGCATACGTGCCCACACATCTGAATATTCTGAATAATGATCAAGAACTACTCTAAATTGGTTTTGCTCGGGTGTTCTGTTCATGCTGACGAGATGTTGGCTCAAAACACTTGTTCCATGCAGCAAATTTGGGAAAATTGCATGTGGCAGCTTAGGTGTTTGGTTTGTGGCTTCGATTTTCAAGGTGATGATGTGGCTTCTGCAGAGAAAAGGTCTTCCAATTCCCTCAATCAGAAAAAGTACACACATATGTGCGTATATATATATACATATGTATATATATATATATATATATTATGTATATATATATATATATTAGGCATTTCCTCTGGAAGAAGTATGTATAAAGAAACGACGTGTTGCAAAGCTTTGGTTTGTAATGACCAGGTTTTACAAGAACATGGTGTATGTTTTGTGGATGCACATATATAGAAGGACAGAGAAACCACGCACACACACAAAAAAAAGAGGTGAAACCCACAGGCAATAGCTCATTAGGACATGTTTGTGAACTCAGCCCTCAAACAATCAAAGACACCAGCTCTTGGAACACAACTGATGGCCCACAAGCTTCGATGTGTAACCGGGTTGGCGAAACAACATCCGGGTCTAGGAGACTTGTCCCTCAAATGAAATTGCGACAATTGCATGTTTGCCTGGTTGCAACTTGGACCACCACATTTTTTGGGCAGTTAGGGCAGCTCAAACTGTTTGCACAAGTAGGTTTGGATGCAACTGTGGAAAATTCGCTACTGGCTAGAAGGCCTCCAAATCCCATGTAGGTGAGCCCTGTGTGTCCAGAACCTATCAAGCATCGGTCTTTCACGAAAGATCTAAATGTGAACCTTAAGACCTGTTTAGAGAAGAGTGCTGCAGCTGGGGTTTAGGTTGTGTTGGCGCTTATTCTAGAAAGCAGCAATCTTGAAAAAGTGCACCATGTATTGCAAAAAACGTGCAAATATGTGCGAATCAAAAATGCACAAATCATGCAATTGCAAAAACGCATTTTCCTTGCATTTTATCTTGTTGTTTTGCATTGTTCTTCCAAAATAATGGTTGTCCAGCTAGTCCCTGGTCTGATTTGCGTGTTTTGTTTTTTTTCTCAATTTCTCATTTTTGGTGCTTTCAGAATTGCATTTTTCATTTTTATCATTTTTTCAAGATGTAGACATCCTAGAACAAGCGCAATTCGACAACACAAGGTTGAGGATGCGCATGCAAAACGAGATAATTCTAATTGTACAACAAAGAATCCAGAAAAAATAATGCCACCCATCCCCAGGGCAACCCATGGACAAACAATGGAAAGACGACTAATTAAAAACCCTGGAAAGACCCATTCAAATGGTGGAAACACCTGCAGGTTGCGGACGGGGGCTTGCAGAACTAACGAAGTGCGTCAGAACGGATGAGGGTTTCGATTCGAATTTTCTTGATTGGGCAAAAGATCAAAGACATGCAATTTTGAGGCTACTATATGTATATCCAAAGTCCTTAAATACGCCTTTAGTTTCCCAAATGGGTCTTAAGGTAAAAACCTGTCCTGAATCAGGCTTTGAAATTTCAGGGTGAGGTTCAATTTTTAATAATTTTTACAATCCTAAATGCGAAAGACCAAACAAGTTTGGTCTATAAAAAAGGAGCGCATTGACATTTGATGGCCCAGGGACATGGAACTGGGGTTCCAACGCCGATTTCAGACATTTTTTTCCAGGTCCTAAAAGACAAGGTCAGAAGATATAGAGAAGTCATCAAAAGTCGGTCACCATAGATATGGGTTTTTTGGAGTTCGGTTTTCCTGAAACAAATAAGCCATAAACCCGCCGCATAATCTACTTCCTCTGAAAGGTATCAAGCTTCACTTGAAATGATTCACATGGGCAAGGGATTGGTGAACTGATGGTGGACCTGAGTCTACGAGATGTTGAACCAGGAGGGTTGACAGCTAGGTGAACTGGTCGTCTCATTCCTGCTGTTTCTTGGATGTTTTCTCAACCAATGAGAGTTGAGTTCAGCTTTTACTGTACTTCTGAAAGATGTGCAAAAAAATCGGTGACTAAACGAGGTCCTCAGCAGGTTTAAGGTTTCTCCAAAGCTTTCAGGCTTGAGCTATATATATGTCAATGCGGAGTGCCCCACCAGGGGCCGCACATGGGAGCTCTGCCTTTTCTCACCTCGAGCACAAGAGTTCCCTGCAGCACATGCATACGATCAGACCTGCATGGTCATGGATGGGAAGCGATTTCACACTCCTCCAAATCCAAAAATAAATCAAAATTTTAATTACTTCATACGACGCACCATGGTTGTGCCCGGATATGTGATTCCGGTCGCTTGGCTGTCCTTCTTGGTCTTCCAATCCACGGCAGCAAGATAGGAGCGCAAGTCATCTGCCTTAGCGCTTTTGATGCCAGTGTTGTAGATCCAATCCAGGTACTCCTTCATACCTTCATTGTGCTTGGACTCCTTGATCATATCTTCATAGGACAGTTCGCGACGGGCAAACTTGGGAAGCTCACAAATCGTCTTTCCCCAGTCTGCAAGGGATTCCACATTCTCCGGGAGGTCAACATGCTTGGGCACCAGGATGCCTGTGCCTCCCGTGGCCTTTGGAGCAATTGGCTGCTGCTTCTTGCTCAGGCGGGCAGGCATGTCCTGCTCTCCTGAGATATACTCAAACTCTTCTGGCTCAGAGTCTGTCGAGGAGAGGCGACGCTTGCTGCTGTCACTCATGCCTTCGATCACCTGCTGGCGTCCCATCTGTGCCTCAATCAGGACAGCATCCATCTGTCCCATGGCCTCGAGGCTTCGAACGAGGTCCTTGATTTCTTCAGGTGTCATCTTCGCTGCTGACGATGCCATAGCGGCTGAATGAACAAACACGGCGCTGCAGAGATATCACTAAGATACCGGGCTCTAAGGATATGATAGGATTGTGATCTTTCAGATCAGTTGCACGCTACCGCAAGATTTGAGCAGGATTAATGTGACATATCATGTTACCTCACTTTACACGCTGAACTCGAGATGTCATCTTCATGCACAAACTCAAGTCTTGTGATTCCCATTAATTATCACTTAACTATTCCCCTTAGTGTGAGTTTACCCCATTATTTTTATTTCCTTATGCTGCTTTTGTATTTTGGTTTTGAAAAACAGTTTTCATCCCCAGTTGGGAGCTCTGGCTGGAGTTACTTTTTGGCAGTTTTCGGCGGAGAGTTGTCATCTCGGCGTCTCTTCTGTGCTTCTCGTGCTGCACGCTGATCCTTTCGGATGGCTAAAATGGTGGCTTCCTTATTGAGCTGATATTCTCCAATTTGCAAGGCTGTTCTCAACAATTCATTTGGGTCAAACTGATCTTTGGTCAGCGCATCGGCTAGCATGAGTTCTGAAGGACACCAACGAATTTGAAGTCCAGAGTTCTTCATGCACTGTCTCAGGATGGCCAAGTCTATGGCCACTCGCTTGTCTTCGCACTTGGATACCGATGACAAAGACGACACATGATCGTACAGGCTTTTGCAATCAGTGATTCCTACTATTGAAACCATTGAGATGTCATCCCTGCATTTCAGTTGCACTTGTCCTACCGCATGGCTTTGCACTTGTTCTTTGGTGCGAAGGTCGAATGACCCATGATTTGCTTCTGCCAGCAATAGAGACATCCATTCAGCTACGGCGCTCGCTGAAGCATTGTGCTTCCCCGGCCAACGTGGAAGCTACGACTCTTGGCAACTTGAAAGACTTCCAAGCAAACGGTGACCACTTGCTGGGCTGATTTTCAGACAGGTTTTTGTCCACAAAAGCTGCGATGTATCCAGCTTGGGTCCGATGTCCCTTGGCATTCCCAAATGCAGCATCTGAGTGAAAAGCAATTGCAATATCATCCCAAGGAATAGATTGGATAGTGATTTCAACATCGCTGTTTTGCTTGGCTCTGTGAACTAGCTGATTGGCAAACACCAGGTCATACACTTTTGGATCTGGAAAACACTGCTGGCTGAAAGATGTCTGCACTGCCAAATCCGGTCGGCTTTGGCTGCTGATCCAATTTGCGGCACCATTGATCGCTCTCAAGGCAGCGACTTCTTTTTCGCTTGCTAAGGCATCTTTGTTCTTGAGTCTATCTTTGGTCAAGTTGATGGGTCTAAGATGTTCAGAGTATTCCTTTTGGCCATAAGTGATATTGAAGGTTTGGGGATCTTGATTGCATTGAACCCCGCAATATTCCCCATTCCCAATACGCCACTTTCGGTACGGAAATCTCTGTCTGAGTGCTGCAACGGCGGCCTCATAGGTACTTCCGGAGCCAGCTGTGATGGTGTCATCCACATGTGCTCCAAGAACACCTACCAACTGACCCTGCTTGTCCCTCAGATAGTACAAACATCGGTCAAACTGCGATTGTTCCCAACCAATTTGTTTGGTAGTGGTATCAAAGGTGTTGAACCAATTGAGGGGCGCATCGTTGGCTCCATAGACGTTTCCCAAAACTTCAATCACATCTTCTGGTTCTAGGCCCGGTACCCCTCCATGTGGCTGGTGGGCATACAACGGAGAAAACTTCTTGTCTATGGGTCCTGCTTCAAGGAATGCTCCCTTGATGTCACCTAGCTGGAGAGTCCACTTTTTGCTGGAAATGATCTGCAACAGCAGGGCTCTTGACAAGGGCTGCAATGTCGGGCTATGACAGGCTCCGGACCGAATCTTCTCTGAAAGTCTGGGTCCAAATGACCCTGGAGACACCATCTGCTCTTCACACGCTCGCCATCTTCATCCTGTTTGTTGATGATGACAAAACGACTACCAATAAACCTATCAGACTGATGACGACGAATGGCTTTGGCTTTGTCACCTCTCCAGATTCGTACTGCGTTCTTTCCTAGAAGGGTCTCCCATTCTAAGGCTTTTGAGGCTTCTACCTTACTTTGCACAGCAGGTTCATTGCCTATTGCTGGAATTTCCTTCTGGAGTTTCTTTTGGATGAAGGCTGCTGTGAGGGCTTCTATGGTGAAATTCGGAACGGTACCATCGTGCGCGCTGAAAAGACTCTCAGCAACATCATCTACCTTGGCTCTCGTGGACTCGCGGGGAGTTGCCGGATCTGCGCTGGCTTCTCTTTTAGAGCTGGCACCTCTCGGACTGCTACTCTCACCACCGACCTGACCATCGCCTACCGTTGACATCAAGTGATCCTCAATCATCTGGGGAATTGTTTCATGGAGAATTTCTGCAAGATCATCATGTGCCATCGCTGCTGGTCTGAACAACGGTGCTTCTGGGGATTTGACTTTGTGTCTCCTACGAATGGGACCATATGCTGGTGATTTGTCCACAGCTTCTCCTACTGGTTCTGTGGGATCCTCAGTGGAGTCAGGCTTGGCGTCAGGCAAGTCAAAATCCTGCCTCGAACTTTGTGCCCTTTCTTCGAAGAGCTGCGCTGCAGACTTGGCACTGTCCGGCTGGACTGAGTCGGGATTCATGGCTTCTTCAAGTGATGGTGGCCCTTCTTGGTTTACCAAATCAGTGAACTGGCTCTTTGGAAATTGCCCTTTTTCGAGTAAGTTCTTGATCCCCAGTAGTTCTGATTCATCAAACTTGGCAATCTCTTGTTCCTCACTTGTGGCAAATCTCAACTGTTCTGGTGAACACCTAAAGATGCTGCGACGATGGGCTACAATGAAGTTTATCCCCAATCTACCCAGTATCATTCCATCACCGTACCACCTACCGCCTTTGACTAGCTGACCCTCTTGCCATTTTTGGGTTCTCCAGTAGTACACCCAGTCTCCGGATGCAAATTCACGGCGTGGCCTCGGTCGAGACCTGAGGGCTGCTTTCAGCGCCTTCTCATCTTGGCACTGCAACACTGCACATCGGGCTGCTTGACGGATTGTGGCAGCTCGTTGACTTGCATTTTCAAACAGTGTGGCATCTACAGCTGGAACATGAACATCATCTTGCATTAGGTCTTGTGGGACCCTGGGATTGCGGCCGAAAACAATTTGAAACGGACTGGCTCCAGACACTGTGATTAAGGAGTTCTTGGCGACCTGCACCTGCATGACATTATCTACAAACTGTTCTGCTGAGTTTGGAGGACATTCTTCATGCACCTTAGTCAGTATCTGTTCGAACCACTGTCCTTGACGTTCTACCTTGCCCAACTGCCAATGGGCATCGGCTGCAGTATGGACAATGTCAATTCCGAGAGTTTGGCAAAACTGTGCAAGCTCATCACTCAGGTTTGGTCGTGATGGATCAAGCTCCAAGACTTTTGGGGGTCCTGCCCAGTTGATCCAGGCATCTCTCAAAACACCCTTGATCAGTTCTGCACTCTCACGTTCAAAAATCAGCGCCATCACCTGCAGCGATGATGCATAGTCCACAATGCTCACACATGGAACCCTTTGATTTACCTTCCACCCTGGCAGATACTTAACATCCAGTCCTATTCTTTCGTTGAAATCCCACACTCGAGACACTTTGGCTGGCATGGAACATGCTGGCTTCTGATGGTTGGCACAAACTGTACATTCAAAATCCCTGGCCATCTGAATGGCTTTTGCGGATGCTTTGCTATGTTGGAGGATGCGCACTAAATCTCGATTGCTTGGATGGCCTAAATTAACATGAAGGCGCTTGAGTGCATGTTGGACTTTGGCGGCATCATCCAGGGATTGTGAGCTATTCTCACCCGCTGGAACGGGCTCGAGCTCTTGGGCTTCTGCAGGAGCCATGACTACTCCATCGGCCAGGCATTCGGTCTCTTCGCATGCAGCTAAGTCCACTTGGTGTGTTGGCAAACTTGGGTGCTCAGGCAAACACATGTCCATGATGCTTTTGACAAACTGTGATGTGTAAGAGGCGACATATTCATTCACATTCTGGCCATTTCTGAGTTTCCAGCAACCAACCTGTGTTCTGCACAACCTGGGCAGCTCTGCAACACATGGTTACGATCTTCTGGTCGGCATGACAACATTAACCCAGTGGCTTTTCGGATTGGAAGACCGGTATCAGGACAAGACAGGCCGTATGCGCACATGTCAACCCTTCTAATCCCAAACTTCCTTCGCAGGGGAACCATCTCACTATCATCCCAAACATCAGATCCCCATGGATGCTCAAACATGAATTCACCCCCTCTGGCTAGCTGCTTGCGAATCTGACGGACGCTGAATTTGATCTGCTCACGGGACTGCTTCAGCAAACGGGCAGTCTCAAGAGGACTTCTGTAGCACTTGTTGAGATGCTCCCACCCGCCTCGATGAGTGCATGTCGGGCATACCACTAGGAGATCAGGGTTTGCTTCATCCAGTTGCTTATCCACTATTGCTTGGGTTGTGGGGTCGGTGAGATCCCAACCCTGCTTGATATCGAAAGACAACCCTTTCTGACCTCTGTTTCTGGCTTCAGCTGCAAAACGTGGTGGTGAAAACAATTCTGCTACAGCATATTCAGATGGCTTTCGTTCCTGATTCATTTGAGCTAGCAAACATCTGCACTCCTTATTTTCGAGGGTTACTTTAGTCTTTTGGGATGGCAACCTGCCCTTCGCCTCATGACTGGAGTTCGGAGTTGGGCTCATTGACGGCTTGGTCTCTTTGATGGGATAGTTGAGCACGTCGACCAGGAGTTGACCTGCACTGTTGATCTTCAACTCAGCTGATGTACCTAAGAAGGACATGTTGTTGGTCTTGAAGTCCAAACATGCCCCCAGCTTCACCAACGTAGGACGACCTAACAGTAATGGGGCAGATCCTCTGATCACTGCTGCATCAATTGTACCAAATGTACGTGCTATCCCCACTGGCAGAGTCACTACTTGTTCAGAAGTTTCAGTCATACCATTTCCAAACCTGAAGACATTGTTCTCAGCTCGGTACTTCACCTGAGGATGTCCAGGCTTTTGCATCAGTTCGATCAGTTGTTGCAATGTCTCTTGACCAATCAACGTTTTCCCACATCCACTGTCTACCACCCCAAAACCAGGTGATGACACTAGGCCGCCTGACAGAATCTCAGCTGCAAAACTGTTTGTGCAGCCCTTCACATGTTCTGCTGTTCCAACAAAGGTGGGCGTCACCTCTTCGACTTGCACATACCCAGCGCCTGTTGGTGGTGTTGGAGTTGAGCTGGATGCGGCAGACTTGTCCATTGGAGCTGATCTGCACTCTCTAGCCCAATGGCCTACTTTTCCACATCTTCGGCATTTCGTTTTCTTTTTCAGTTCTTCTACTTCTATCCGAAAACTACGCTTGTCTTTGGCCAGATTGCCGAACTGACGACTCTGACGGAGCTTTGCTATCTCTCGGCGACGTTCAGACCATGACACAGCTAGGGCTTCAGCAGCTTCTCCTTCGGAGAAAGTCAAATCATCAGTGCTATCTCCAAGTTGTACCTTGTGTTCAGACAGAAAAGCTTCCACGTCGTGGAAATCACCGTCATCATCGGCTCCAGCTTGGTCACCAGGCTGTTCTTCAACCTGATATGCACCGATAGTCTTCTTTCGACCTGCTGATGCCTTGTACTCCGGGAAACATGACCGGAGCGCCTGTGACACCACTTCGAAATCCAAACGGCCTTGACTCTTCGCCTTGACTATTGCTCGCTGTTCCTCTGACATACCCGCACAGTGTAACAGGATCCAGCCTTTGGCTTCAGGTGGAAACTTGACATCGCCTTTGCGTTGACACTGATCAAAGGTATCTCGAACTCTTCCAGTCCATGATTTCAGATCTTCGCCATCGCGAGCTGCTAAGGCGAACACAGCCCCAAGCGCTTCGCCCATCTGGTCGTAGGGCTCCTCCTCGAGAAGGCTCCATACCTCATCATCGCCACCTGGTGCTGACAGTTTCTCTAAAGAGAGATGTTCACAGGCATCCCAGGCTTTTCCATCCAGTAGCGTAAACACCCATGGTCCACGCTGCTCCTTCTTCAGGTCTTTGCATGTGAGCATCTTTGCTGTGGCCCACAGTCTCCATTTTTTCAATGCCTTGCCAGGATCTTCATCCTCGCCGTTGAACCTTTTCAGGCCCTTTTCCTCTGCCATTGCTTCGACGCGGGCCCCTGGTGGGGCTCCGCTACCAATGTCAATGCGGAGTGCCCCACTAGGGGCCGCACATGGGAGCTCTGCCTTTTCTCACCTCGAGCACAAGAGTTCCCTGCAGCACATGCATACGATCAGACCTGCATGGTCATGGATGGGAAGCGATTCACATATATATATATATATATTTATTTAATATGTATTAAAATCTCGTTTCATCACGTGTGGCTGCCTTGGGAAGGAGGATTTTCCTTTGTTTCCTACTTTCTTCCCATTTGTTTCCCGCTTCTCTCACATCTGTTTCCCTATTTCAGTTTTTTGATAGAGTGATAGAAAATATCCTAGTTTCCCACTTGACTTGTTTCCAACTTGTCCTCCCATTTCTCTCTGTATGCTCCTTGTGTCTTCGTTCTTGTGGCTGCCTTGGGACGAAGGAATGCTTTTGTTCCCGCTTTTTCTCCCTTTTCTTCTACTACATTCTCCTTCTATCTCTATTCCTCTGGTGGTTTTGGGGCAGAAAAATGCACGTCGTTTCCTTCTTGCCCCCTACTTGTCACGAAAGGTAGGTCCTGGTCAATTTTAGGGATTTGGGTTTGGGTTTACGATTTGTTGGAACTTCAGCGGAGCAATGAAATAGCTAGAGCTGCATCCTAGAAACCTAAAGACGGATCACAAGTTGTTGTTTCAAAAATTAGTCTCAGGTGATTGAAACCGGCTCCGTGCCCATTTTGTTTGATAATTTCTATCATCATTACAACAATGACACCAAAAATAGCTTTTGTACGGTTGGTTGCTTCACTTTCCATAGATGTTCCTTGTTTTCTCGCATTTTACTTCCTATATGAACTCTGGTACCGCTGTTTCTCCAAGGAGCATGGACTGCAGCTCGGCATCAACATCCAAGGCGGGGCACGGTGCATTTGATGGAGGCATGGGGCGCCCAAGCTTCGAAGAGATCCTTGACCCTCAAACATTTGACATTTTAGACTGGTGGGTCGATTTGGGCACAAGAAATTGTGGCTTTTCATCACTCAGTCTGTGGGTGTAGAATATTAATTCATCACACCTTGCTGCCATTCTTAAGTGAGTTTCAAACCACGTGTCACGGCACCAAGCTTTGAACGCCGTCACAAGGCCGAAGCTGCTGTGCCAGACGGTGAGGTGCAAATCTTGGCTGTGTGGAAGTTTCATGCTGGGTCAACTTTCAAATCCCGCTGATTGTGTGAAATTCGTCAACCAAGTGAGTTTGAAATCCCGGGGTTCACGCGATGTTCAGCTCAAGCAACTCTGGATGGGTCGTTTAGAGCTTTGCACGTGCTATTCTCTGCCATTCTGTGCAAAACACTTAGCATTCTTGGCATCTACTGTAGGCAGACTATGTAAACACGCAAAAATGTCAGGACCTGAGATTTCTGAATTCAGCGGGCTACCTTCGTGTTCAGTGAATGTCAGTTTCCATCATGATATGTCCCTTTTGAGGGTTCACATGTCTGAAATCTTGCGCCTGAATAATATGTGGTCTGCAATCCCCATCATCTGGAATCATCTGGAATCAAGAATGAAAACGAGCTCCAAAGAGCTGGGTTTGGAGGGAATGGTTTTCATCTTATTGATTTATTGAATTTACACCTGGATGGTGTATCTAAAGTCCACCTCTTCGCTACAAACTCTGGGAGTTGAGTGTCCATTCCATCAGCTCCGGGGTGTGTCTGCCTGAGGTGCAGACATTTATGAGGCTGCGGAACAGGGCAATGTTTGTGCCGTGAGGCACTTCCTGCACCTTGACCCTGGGAGCTTGCAGCGTAAGGATCAAGGAGACGGCCGCAGCCTCAGAACCGAAGTTGGAACGTGAATGAAGGTGCAGGAGAGTAAATCTGATGGGCCGCGGTGCGTTTGACCGTGTGGCATCACCAGCTTGCTATTGAGGCACTCAAAGTTTATAAGAAAACTTTCATTTTGCTACCCTTGATTCGGATGCGGACCGTATAATAAATAGATGTAAATAGACAGTCTTGTACCGTTACATTGTTTGTCTTTCCAATGCTGGATGGTGCCGGCAGGAGACTCACTCACACCCGACAGAATCGCATCACTTACACCACCCGCATCACTTACACCACCAGACATGACTTACAACCAACAAATTCGCATCACTTACACCACCACTCCTGTTTTGGGGTTTGCCTAACACAGGAAGTACACAGGTACGACCCCTTTAGGCTTTCTTTGCTTCACACAGGAAGTACACAGGTACGGCCCCTTTTGGGTTTCTTTGCTTCACACAGGAAGTACACAGGTACAACCCCTTTGGGTGGCTTCACATAGGAAGTACACAGGTAAGCCCCCTTTAGGGTTTCTTTGCTGTACACAGGAAGTACACAGGTACGACCCCTTTAGGTTTTCTTTGCTTCACACAGGAAGTACACAGGTACGACCCCTTTCGGCTTTCTTTGCTTCACACAGGAAGTACACTGGTACGACCGCTTTGGGGTTTCTTGGCTTCACATAGGAAGTAATTATACAGGTCGACACCTTTAGGGTTTCTTTGCTGTACACAGGAAGTACAAAGGTACGACCCCTTTGGGGTTTCTTGGCTTCACATAGGAAGTACACAGGTCGACCCTTTAGGTTTTTTTGGCTGTACACAGGAAGTACACAGGTACGACTCATTCAGGCTTTCCTTGCTTCACACAGGAAGTACACAGGTACGACCCCTTTGGGGCTTCTTGGCTTCACATAGGAAGTACACAGGTCGAGACCTTTAGGGTTTCTTTGCTGTACACAGGAAGTGCAAAGGTACGACCCTTTTAGGCTTTCTTTGCTTCACACAGGAAGTACCCCTTTAGGCTTTCTTTGCTTCACACAGGAAGTACACTGGTACGACTGGTACGACCCCTTTAGGCTTTCTGTGCTTCACACAGGAAGTACACAGGTAAGACATGGTAAGACCCCTTTAGGCTTTCTTTGCTTCACACAGGAAGTACACAGGTAGGACCTCTTTAGGCTTTCGTTGCTTCACACGGGAAGTACACAGGTACGACCCCTTTAGGCTTTCTTTGCTTCACACGGGAAGTACACAGGTACGACCCCTTTCGGCTTTCTTTGCTTCACACAGGAAGTACACAGGTAAGACCCCTTTAGATCCCTTTAGGCTTTCTTTGCTTCACACAGGAAGTACACAGGTACGACCCCTTTAGGCTTTCGTTGCTTCACACAGCAAGTTCACAGGGTTTGTCAAGTTTGTTTGACAAAAGGTTTTAAAATAAACCTACGTATAAATAAAATTGGCTTTGGGAACAAATAGATCCCAACTAAATCGCTTGCTTACGCGTACGCAACGCTACACCAAACACGGGCATATACACAGAGCGTAAGGCCGCGAGAAAGGTGGCAGGCAAAGAAGTGGAGGGCCAAACGAAGTAACAGAAGGACAGCAGAGCAGAGCAAAACAGAGAAGGAGGAGCAAGACACAGCAGGAATTTTACAAGCAGCAAGGGCTGCTTTGTCAACCTAACTGTCTTTCCTTATGAACCTTCGGTTCAGAACAGGCATGTTTCGGTTATTGATGTCAATGATGTTAATGATGAAGGAAAAGACGTGAAAGTGATGATGATGATGATGATGATGATGATGATGATGATGATGATGGTGATGGTGATGGTGATGGTGATGGTGGTGATGATGATGGTGATGGTGATGGTGATGGTGATGGTGATGTTGTAAGCGATGCAAATTTGGCGGTCGCAAGCGATACCGCGACCGATGGTGCCCACAAGTAAGGATAATGAGTGAGAGTGACTTTGGATGTGGAACAGCATTAATTAACGACACTGCACCAGCTGACGAGGAAGAAAATAGTTAAGCATGGTTAAGCCATGTTAAACCGTCCCTCGCGCAACCACCTGGAAGAGCCAGCAGCAGAAGTGATCATGCCCCCCAAGTCTTCTGCTACTTACATGTTTTGGCACTCTGCTAAGCGACCTTTACGACAATCTGACAGAAGTGTCTGCAATGTCTTCAACTTACTTCAGAATCCACGAGCCTCAACCGGAAAATACCAGTCCCGGGGCACAATGACTTGACCCAAGTCTCGCCACCCCGAGTCTCGTGGCCGCCGAGGCCAAACGCCGCTGCATTGGGCAGCTGAAAAAGGCCACGTTTCGGTGGTCGAGCTGCTGATGACTTCCGGCGCCTCCGTAGAGGCAGAGGATGCATTTGGCCGCGATCCCAGAGCTGCAGCAACGAAGCTGTGGGACTTGATGTGGATCCTAACATCATGTCTTTGTAATGTCAACCCCGGATGAGACTAAACCATGGTTTATTAATTAGGGGGTACTCCTCCAATAGTCATAATATGATACTTTTTTATGGTACCTTCCCAATTAAACAAACTGGGGGTTTATTAATCCAAGGTATGAAGGATGTTGTTGGCAGATGAGTGACGAGTGTGATTCGATGATATTGGATGAATTGGTTCTGTTGTGACTTGCTCTGAAAAAAGTGCCAAACAGACTTGTCCGGTCGAATGGTTCTTCTTTCTCAGTCATGTTTTTCCAAATAGTATCATGGTACTGTACAATAAGGACGAGTGATCAGTTCCTTTTTTAGCTCTGGATCATATCCGGTTGGTTTCCCATGTCCGGTTTCTAATCCAGATGATCCTCTGAGTGACAACCAATATCGATGTGCTACTCTTAAGTCCAGCACCACAGACTTGAAGTGATGTTTTTGAAACCTGTATTGATACATACTGATATGTTTCAACCCCCCAAACCTTTTCTCTGTACAGTGTGAAGCGAACATTTCCCTTGGCAGAAAAAACATGTCCAATGACTTTCATGCGTGACAACAGACCACAATCCAGACACAGCCCCGTCACCAGTGTCAGACCCCTTCCTATTGCGTTTCTCCTTCCGTTGTCAAATGCAGCACTTGCAATGTTTGCCCCTAATGATTACAGTTACTGTACAGAATGTACATGTAAAGTGCACATGCAAGAGCACACCGCGAGTTCTCATGAGTATCATGAGTGTTCAATTTTAAGCGACTTGGTAGCCCTCATGCCCGAGGCCGGACGCCGCTGCACTGGGCGGCAGAATTCAACAAGGCCAAAGTGGTGGACTCGCTGCTGAAGTCTGGCGCCTCCCTGCAGGTGAAGAGTAACAGCGGCCGCGGCCCCAGAGCGCAGTAAGATGCAGCAAGTATCGCAGTGCGGGGGTGAATCCTGGGCGCACACTGGGGGAAGGAGATGTGATATGATCTGATATATTGATCCGTCTGATTTCATACTCTGGGAATATAGGTGGCGCACACTTAGAAAGACAAGAAAGAATTTCCTACAGCCCCGCTATTGAATCGCACAGTTCATCAGGATTTGTCACCCTTTGTGTCTGAGTGCATCCTATCTACGATGACTGGTGTATAGAAGTCGGCAGCACAACTTAAGAAGTCAGCGGGTTTGAGTGCTATTTTATTACCGAATTGTGTCAGAATTGCATCAGTCTGCAAGGGGCTTGCAATCCCTTTATACACATTAAAATCGGAAATTTGCCATGGTTTCATCAGGCATGTCTCTAGCGGGGCCTGCCCTGATTCTACTGCAGGGCTGCAAGATGATGCAAAATCGTTTGTAGCCTGCCTCGAGCAACAATACCACATCAGACACGATCAGTTTATGAGGCATTGGCTTTGGCAGAACGAGTGTTGCCTCCGGCAGTACAGGGTATGTCCGAAGTTATTCATGAACTGATGCATGATGTTGGGAAAGCGAGGCGCATTTGCTTGTCAGATTAACGCAAGGTAACGAAAGACAAGAAAGCATTCTGTTTTGCAATGCGTCTCAGTTGTTTTCGCGATGCCTTCAAAAAATCTTAAAGCACGCTAAAAAGGCTGAACACTGCTAAACGTTGGCAGATATCTCTACATATCCTCAGTGTGATCAACTTTGCGCGAGACCCCAAAAGGATGATGCGGTTTCTGCGCACTCTCCGTTGCTGTTCTTTCTCCTCTGTGATGGCGCCGTAGCCAGCCGTGCTGCAGCATGTGCTGAGGCAACACAGCACTACATTGGGCAGCTCGGAACGGCCATGCCGCCATGGTCGAGAAGCTCATCACCGCGGGGGCCGAGGTGGGCGCGGCCAACAATGAGGGCCGTGGTCTCAGAAGGGTTTCTAAGTTTTATGAGGGCCAGGGCGTGGTTCTGGCAGAAGAGGTGATGATGCTGCTAACAAGAGGCCCATTTGCCTGTAAGACAAGAAGCAAGATAAGAAAGGCAAGAAACAAATTGTTTCGTGATGCTGCCTTAAAGAAATATTGAAGCATGCCAAACTGCTAAACATTGGCAGAGCCCCGCAAGGATGATGGGGTTTCTGAGCACTCCCCGTGGCTGCTCTTTCTCCTCTGTGATGGCGCCGTAGCCAGCCGTGTTGGAGCGTCGTGTGCCGAGGCAACACGGCACTGCATTGGGCAGCTCGGAACGGACACGCCGCCGTGGTCGAGAAGCTGATTACTGCAGGGGCCAAGGTGGACGCGGCCAACAATGAGGGCCATGATCTTAGAAGGGTTTCTAAGTTTTCTGAGGGCCAGGGTGTGGTTCTGGCAGAAGAGGTGATGGAAGAGGCTTGGGCGGAAGCAGATTTCTGATGTTGAGTGGTTGCGGTGGCTTCGACTTCTGAGCAACAGAAGCTCCGAACAGATAAGACACTAGATATAAAAGGTTAAAAGTGGCTGAGGATGCGGCACAGCAAAAGGTGATGGGGACAACTTCAGGATCCGAGTAATAACTTTGGTACCTTGATGTTTTCAATTGCAAGTTGCCGTGGTTTCGTGACACGGAAATTTGAACAGAGACATGCTGCAAACATCTGCAAACTAAGTCGGACGTTGATTTCCTGCACGTAGTAGACTAGCACCTTTTTTATGACTGTCCTCACCAATTCGGCCCAAGGCAGGAGTGATAGTTCCGCACAATTCTTCTGCTACATACCCCTGGGATTCCCGATGACAAAGTTTGGTAGAAACTAGTACAAACAGTCATGAGGATCATGAGGGTAAGATATTTTGTTTGACATTAGACGATTTGACGCTTAGATTGGTAATCGGTAATCTTGCAAAGTGGTACCAGCAATTAAGTGCAACACGGGTCCACTTTGCTTGTGAATTTATGGTTCAATGACGTCTTATGCATACTCTTCAAACCCCACCCCTCATCAAACAGTGTTACACTAAAATGAGAACCCCTACCTTGGGATCCCCTGGGAAAGATCGCCAAGGCTTGACGCCGTTGCTACTGGCGGACGGCCGCCCCCAGGTGGTCGAGCTCCTGACATCCGCCAAGGACGGCCGCCACCCCAGAGATGTCATGCAGTGGCCACACACTTCGTGAAATCAGCAGGTCAGAGTTTGAGTGCTATTGTGGGGTATATATGAGTATATAATGGTATATTTATATAATGGTATATACTGTAATACTTTCAGTCCCTCATGGCAACGCAGTTAGCATCCAGGGGTGTGCGAGCCATGTCTACAAGATTTAGAGTACAATATTATTACAATATTTTCTTGCAGAAGAACACATATGCTGTTAAGACATGTCTCCATGCATAGAAACCTGCTCTGATTTCACTGCAGTGCTACAAAATGATGCAAGAAAGTCATGTTGCCTTGAGCAATACAAACACTTCAGATCCAGACGGTCGCACTGTTAACAATAGCTTTGGCAGAGCAAGCCTTGCTTTCACCAATTGTGCGCAGTTCACGTGCATAGTCCAAAGTTATTCACGAACCACTATAGACATGCGCAACACATGATGCTGCGAAAGTCAAGCCTAATGCCCAATTCCCTCCAAGAAAGGAGACAGCAGATTGTTTTGAAGTGAAGGCTTTCATCATTTTCATTGTCGTGCTGATGTTGAATTTTAGGCGTCCAGCCTGATTCATGATTTGAAGCAGCAGCTGGTTGTTTCAGCACCAAGGCCGTATGGCGTTGTTTCTTGGCCTTGGAAAAGGGCTTCGTGGGGCAGCTGATGTTCTTCTTTGGGAACTTGCAGTTCAAAGTTTCACTTTGTGTTGGGTCTTGGGATGTGCCTGAACGTAGTAAGAAACGAGTGGAAAGCGGAAGGAAGCACACTGGCTCTGAAACTTCAGCGACGTCGCAATCTTCGGCTTGACATTGACTTGAGTTGATTTGCAAATTCATTGCGGTGGCTTTGACTTTGAGCAACAGAAATTCTGAACAGATAAGAAACTATGTGGCGGTGGATCTAAATTCCTTTATCTGCAAACGGCCATTCTTTGCGAACAAAAAAAAATTGCTTTCGCGAATCTCTCGCGAACACCACGTTTGTCGTTTGCGGGGGTCTCATGTCAAAATCTTTCGCTAATTCTGTCGCCAAAAGAAAAAAACGCGAACGCAGAAAAAACTTAAGGGCGGGGTCTCATGTTGGAACCCTGGCGGCCTTTGTAATGGACAATCTCTACATGGACCTTTTTGGATCGACTTTTTCATGTATGGAAAAGGGATGAAAAGGGCAAGTATGTGGCTAAGGATGTGGCACTGCAAAATGTGCAAAAGGGAAGAACCTGCGATGCCACAACTGATTACTGACCTGATTTAACAAGAGTGGTGATGGAAGGGGCTCTGGCAGAAGCAGATTTCTACTTTGGGAGGTTGAGTGGTACATGCAGTTTAAACATATGTTTAAACTTTTAGGTTCAAGTTGGTGACTTAGTGCATCTTTGTGCTTGGATGGGCCTCCCAAGCGTGAGGAGGTAAATGATGAGTGGAAAGAAGAAGTGATTACGCCACGCTGTCTTGGCGGAACTCTTTTCTTGATTTTGAATTTGGTTCGACCCTATATACTTGTTGCCTGCAAATTCTCTTGGTTGCGCGTATGGAATGGAATTATGGAATCTTGGGCAGAGACATGTCGTCTGAAATGACTGCAAGTAGCGAAATGTTTGCAGTTTAATGTCTATTTCATTCTGCTTGGCACGTGTCCCGACTTCGGAACATTAGAAAAATTGGTCCTTCAAGGAACATCAAGGAACTGGCGTGAGTATTAGTATTGCCATTTTTTGTCAAACATTGAGAACTCAACATGCAGAATGCCTTGAGTGCTGTTGTGCTTCTGGGTCCAATTTTTGGCTGCAAGGGATGCAAGCATTCAGCATTCATTACAATTTTCTATCATCACGAGATTTGTCATATTCTTCATTGAAATCCATTTTGATAGTTGTTTGTAAACTGAGAATATGGTGTGTCCGTCCACATCCGCTGGACTTTCCAGGTTCCCCAAAATGCCTTCACACCGTGCGTCTTAGGCCGAACACCTTATGAGGTGGCCATGGCTGGCCATGGGCCTCGTGGCCACAGCCTCTTGGCAGCCGGTCCATCAAGAAATGGCCGGAAAATTGTATCAGTTTTATTCAGTTATAGTCAACCATCAGAAAGGGTGATTTAACCATCCAAGATGTGTATTTTATATAATTCAACTATGGAGATTTTATCATCAAACTTGTGGTCCTTAGCCAGAAGAGGGACTCTCACTTCATTGTTTGCTTCAAGAGGAATTGCGCTATAGCACCTCCTGCCCTCTGTGCTCTAGTATTCATTTCCACACTGCTTCGAGTGTTGTCGTTTAGCGCGTCCGTCGAAATTTCCCAGCATGAATGACTTTGTGCCGTTGCCGGTTGTGCATGTTGAGGACCAATTCATGATAACCCTAGGATCCATGTATGCTATATATGGTAACATTTACATACATTTACCATCAATACACCCCCAATGTTAGCATATATATATAATTATATATATATACCATACATGGATCCTATGGGTAACAGTTGGGCGACACAAACATGTAAAACACTGGGATGAACATCTGCAGCCAAGAGACCGAAATGATGCGTTTGCGACCGGTGTGTGTGTGTGTTGCGTTCTGAAACCGTTTCTTGTGCGAGCACCATTGTAGTAATATATATGTATGTATATATATATATATGTCGCAACTGTATTCTGTTTAGCATTGGTCCACGACTTGGTGAAGTCATACATGTTACATTTGCATGAATTGAATCTACCCTGGTATGTTGCGTTCACAATGTTTTTTTCGTATTGTGCGACTGCGTTTCCCCACATGCTCATAAATCCTGCGTTCCCAGTGCGTTTTGCGTTGAAAAACATGGTTTCCAACAATTATTTTCCATGCGGAGGTTCCTTGGGGTGACTTCTTCCCGCAATGGAAATCCTATGATTTGTCAAAATGGGAAATCCATTCTGTCGACTTTTGTGTCGTGTTTTTAAATTCTTCCGCAAGTTTGGATTGATTTTTTGGGATGAATGGAGTGCGGAGTTCCATGTGGCCGGGCATACCCATTACTTACAGTGTTGGGGTGACCACTTGGGATCCCTGGATCTACTACTGTACCAGTTTGAAACGGCCATGGAAGTGGAAACGGTAAAACCATTTTCCAGAGGATTTATTTTCATGTCCATGTTTGTTTCAAAATGTGGCAACCAATCATGCATTAGAATTCGACATGAGATGACGAGAGCATCGAAACCACCATGGCCACGCAAGCATCATCTGATATGTTTTCGGGCTATAGGGTGCTGGCGTTGAGAGAACCACATTTCCATAATACCTCCCTGCATGTTTTTCCCAACGCTAGATAGCGCATATCATTTCCTCTAATCCTGAGTGATGGCATCATGTGTCTTGCTGAGCATTCCAAGGTGCTAGCGAGGCTGTGCTGGCCAAAGGTCAGCCATTGGAGCTGAACACGTCTCTTCTCAGAAAGGGAAATCGATGAGGAGAAATTGCAACCAATGTGATTCGGCCTTGAGACAACAATTAGAATGAATAGCGTGGTAAACCAACCCATGTACAGAAATTTAAACAAAAATTGACTAGACATGGGTTTTGATGTCCCATTTCCAATCAGTGTGGCATTGGGTTTACCGCCTTGTGATTGGCAATGCGTACCATTTTTGTGGCCTGAGGAATCACGCGGAACGATGAATTGGGTTCAAGTCTGTTGTTGGATCCTGCAAGAATCTTGGCCCTTGTGCCGGTTCTTACTTTGTTACTGCTTCTGAAGCAGCTTTCATTCCGCATGACTGCGAAGCAGCTTTGTGGATGTTTTGCGGCGCAGATCGCTGTACAGGAAACGAACATCGTGCAGGTGATTCTTGTTTGGTGATGAGTTGATGATTCCTTATACATCCTTGTACCACATGCGTTGCAGGGCCCCTTGTTCTTGTGGGAAACCATGGGGCGGTCAGACATTGCTGTCGGAAGCAGTCAATCACCCCGATGCCACAGCTCAGACCCTTCATGGAAAAGCTATGACAACAACAGAAGAGCAAGCACATAAGCGTAGCAAAGGCAGCTAATTCTAGCTGCACCTGCGAAGAATTGAGCCTGCGCGCGTTTCTTGTCTTGCTGGGAGTGGTGCCAGGCCAGGCCCTGAAAGTTCCAGAACTTGGGGACACATTCGTCATTAGTCGATTGCCACTTCTAACCCTTACATGCGTTTTTGTTAGACACAAACTGTTATAAGGGATAATGTCTTGTAGACGTAGATGTTAGGAAACAAGTACAATATAAGGTTTAGGCGTGCTCGTGGTCATTTGTCCGCTCAGAAGGGAAGATAACCTGCATGGATATAGCGTATAATATCGTATAATGACATAAATTTCTTGCCGTCGAAACCTGTTTAGAGAGATGTGTTCCGCCTTGCACTCGCATGTCCGGGACGCATCCTGCCTGCCCCCCCAAAAAATGGAGAGCTGATGCTCCATGGCTGCCCTGGAAATTGGCACGGTGAAAATTGCCCCCATCCATTTATTGTCTTACATTGCAAGCTTGCATTGTTTGAGTTTGTGATTGTAAAATATTGTAAACACTTGCAAGGCTTTGAAGTTGCGTTCCATGACGGGCCAGATGCCTGACGATGCACGGCAAGATATCTTTAGAACAATGCAACGCGCGTGCTGGATTGCCCCGAGAATGCATGCACCTCCCGATTTGCTCCGGCAGTCTCCGGGTTCATTGGCTCAAAGCGAGCCAGTGGACCATAGCATGGCAAGACCGGACCCAGGACCGAAAAAGCATTGTGCAACCTCGAGGGCTGAGCATTCCGAATTCCACCCTGCGGATTGGGTAGTGAAAAATATTCTCCGGATTGGTCAGAAATAGGCTGCTAATATGTTGATAATGGCTTATTATTTTGGAGCTGTGGAAGTCTATATCAGTATCGATAATTGGTTGCTATTGGTTTCTGATCTTGATCCTCATAATATGTCGATCCATATTCATCGTGAGATTGGGCCCCGATTCTGATCTGACCAAATAAACTTTAGATGAGAAATTTCCGCACTACAGACAACCGAGCAAGGAGAAGAGTTGAGATGAGCTGAGAAGAGATGAGAGGCGTTGAGATGATCTGAAACATATGAGAAGAGCTGAGAAGACATGAGAACATCTGAGATGAGCTGAGTTGAGATGAGCTGCAAACCATACCTAACCCAAAAACAAACATGACATGAAGTTGCAACATCCCAGACACAAACAATGAAACAAATGAAAAAGAACAACATCTAGAATAAGATAGAGTAAGTATGCAAACATAATACTTGTACCTTTCAAGCAATATCAAAGAATAGTTTTTTTTTTCAAATCAACTTAAGGTTAGGCTGTCCAAGCATTTTGTATATGGACTATTAGGCAGAAAATTGTCTTAGCTGATCTTAGAGGTAATGGCTGCCAGGTGATGCTCAGCGAAGATGGCCACAAAAAAGATACATGCTCCAGCCAAGACGCGAACACCCTCGAACATGTACCAAAAAATACCTCACCACATACACGAACAAACTCAAAAAAAAGATAACAACCTAATAAATAATATTAGTTAATGATTTTATTTTGACGCTTTTTGAAATGAATTTACACGTTTTGATACTCCTTTTTAAACAGCTTCAAATAACTTGGCTAACTTGCAGCAATAAGCTGCATAAGTCCCAAGCAGCAGCAAAACACAGCTGATCCCAGCTCATCTTAGTTTATCTCAGCTCTTCTAAGCTCATATTAGCTCATACAAAACCCACAGCCCATCAAAGAAGCACCTGCTAATCGCATTGGACTGGCTACGCTATTTTTGGTGGCTTTTGATGTGTGTTTGGGCGCTGCCGCAACTGTGTTTTGCAAAGGGCTGAGCGGCGCTGAGAAGAGCTGAGATAAGCTAAGAAGAGTTGAGAAGGGGTGACCAGAACTGAGGAGAGTCATGACAAACTGAGTAAAGCGGAGAGGAGCTCAGAAGAGCTGAGCTGAGAAGAGCTTATCTGAGTTGAGAGGAGCTCAGAGGAATTGAGAGGAGCTGAGAGGGCACTGAGGCAAGCTGAGAAAAGTTGAGACGAGTCGAGACAAGCTGAGCGGAGATGAGTTAGAAGAGATGAGAAGGAAATCTCACGAACAAATGTCAAAAACTAAGGATGTCAAGAAAAGGAGACAGGAGGAATGTCAGATGATGGAGATGTCAAGAGATTGTTTCTGCAAAGCACACAGGGCTGCTTGACATCCTATAGGCACACTCTATTTTCGTGCCATTCTAGGCTTTAATTTTGGAACTTCCCTTCCCGTTTGGCCCATTGTGATCTGATGAGTTGACTCATGCTATTATGCAACATTTGCCGGGGTAGATTTTAAAATCATTTTATGCAGCTTTAGTAGGCTGGGTGGTAATGTTGAGGGTGGGAGCACCATCAGTTCCTGCTTGTTTGGGACAGCCACTATCGAGGTGCAGAACATTCATGTAAAATGGTGTTGAATGTTTGAAATGTTTTTTATTCAAAGTTTTCGAACACCAATTGATTTTGGGTGAAAGGACCGGGTTGACTGCTTCTTTCACAGCATGTTGAGGTTCCAATCTGATACGAAAGACTCGGCGTATATTGGAGTTTGAAAGCGGGATAGTGCGCTAGTGGGTTTGACGCAAGGTTTGCTTGTTCACAGTGGACCTTGACACTTGGCTGCCACCTCATTTGTCCTGCAGCTCGAGAGGTTTAGTTGATGTACAGTAGGGAATGTGGCAGACTCTTGGCTTCCCAATTAAAGTGCAAATTGAAAGATACAACCACTGCCAGAGCAACGGACAACGGCTGTTGGAAGAAAGTCTAGGACTTCTCAAATGTGGTGGGAGTGCATCGACACACATGACAGAAACTGCAGACGATAAAGTCAAGCACCAGTCCTTTTGAAACTATAGGCAAATAGCAGCAGCTTGCATCACATGTTTATTATTTTTGAATATGTTTGCATATATGTTTGCTATATATATAATATATAACACATATATGTTCTATACAACTAGTTTCAAACTAAACAGCCATGCGCTTTGCCAATACTGCATGTTGCCCAGCCTCCGACGAAGAATTGCTGGTCCAAAAGGATGACCAGATTGAACCGGATGACTTGTGCTTCGACCGAGCGACCGAGTAGGGCCCCGGAGAGGGCAACCCGGGTCCCAGCTGTGTGGTAGATACCAATGATACCAAGTCAACTCATGATCTCCATGTCCCTCCGCAGCATGTGAACTTTGCTGTGGCACACTTTTTGCACTTTGCTGTGGCCGAGGCTTCAAACCAAGATGTATGACTGGCTGCCTCCTTGGTTCAAGGAAGGGGACAGCTTCTTTGGCATCGACAAAGCGGTGAAAGTCAGGTTGAACGATGACAAGCAGAGGCGTCGAGGCGTGTATGCGCAACTTGCACAACTGGAGGAGGACAGCTGGCGCCGGGTTTTCGTGACAAGTATGCAGAATGGTTGACCGAAGCCAACCAGCAATACGCCGCAGCATTTCTTGACGATAATTTCACACAGAATGTGCTCGGTGACATTGCCAATCTTCAAGACAGCTTGGGGTCTCGAGGTCGTACTGTACTGGTGTGCTTTGCGTAAAGCTTCGCGACTAGGTGTTAGTTGTATACCTGGTCAAGATCATTCATGAAATTCATGTGTGTGGTGAAGGTCCACGCGCAGCTGCAAATTGCATCACAGCCCAAGATGTTTAGTGGAGCTTGTCGCTGTGGACAGAATACATGAGCTGATCAATGCTGATCATGTATCACATTAATGTGATCTCATGTTTACTTGCGCGGAAATGATTTGATTAATGCTACAAGCTTCACTCACTCACGTGATTTCCGGTGATAGGAAAGGGATTCCCAAATTTTAACCCCCCATTGGGGTACCTAAATAAAATGAAGGGGCAGAAGCCCCTTTTAAAATAAACAAAATAAAATGAAAATAAAATGGGTCAGACCCCAGCATTATATTTTGTGGGTGCATTTTATTTTTTGAGCTGCCTAACCCATCAAATTAAATGACAGAGATAGCATCATAGCAAAGATGCACAGCTGTGCGTCTTTGTGATGGCTGCCATCCACTAGAAATTGGGGGCCCCTAAGGCACCCGCATGAGGATTGCTATTCTTACCCTTGGGCACCCCCATTTTTTGTAGGATATACTGTATTCTTTCAATTTTCCAGACTAGGTCACTATAGTGCCTATATTGGGGGTTGGTTTGAGATGCCTGTTTTGGCTTGTCAATACTTACCACTTCCTGGCAGTTGGGGAAACAATCTATTCTGTACAGATCAGTTGGGTCTTGCCATTTTGGGGGTTTTCGGGTTTTCCTTCAAAGATGGTTAAAACCAATCAAAGAAGGAAACAAGACAAAACAAGATCAACCCAAAAGAAAATGCCGGAGCCCGAGGTCCAACAGTTGCAAAATGTAGGTCCAACAGTGGCCAGGTGGAGGGTGCCTGACGTCATTTTCTTTTTGTACCTGTCCATTGTGTTTTGCTTCGGTTTTCCTATCTTACCTTATGCCCTCTCATTTTATTGGCATTTTCTCCTTAGGCCCCTGCATTTTAATTTATTTTTTTAGGTGCCTCACCCCCCCCTGGCAACAGACGAGGGTAATTTTATGTACATGCTACATGTCACTCCATGAGCTAGCTATAAGTTCTTTCCAAGTGTGTGTGCCTGCGTGTTGACAGCGCAGCATTTTTGCAGTTGTATTGCCTTCTCCTGGTGGTATGAGTTTAAGTGGTTTTCTCAGACAGAAGCAACCCAAAATCACGTGGAAGGTGTGAGCCCATAATTTTCACATGTTTGTGCATGTTTGTGCATGTGGCCACGCGGCTGAAGATGCAGGAAGACTTGGATCTTTCACCAACTGCTGTCTCGGCGATCTTTGGAAGTGACAACCAGGGAATTCGCAACCAAAGAAGTGGAGGAAGTGTCCTGTGACTTGAATGCATGGCTGCCAGGGGACACCTGGTGAAAAGAGTTTACTGTAATGGTTTGTGTGAGACTGAATAATGTGTTTTTGGGCCAGGATGTTCCCTTTGCCTGAGCGGAATTGGGATTTTTGTTGGGGATGTGGCCAAAAAACCAGGCCATGTTTAAATGCCCACTAACCTCAGTACTTAAACGCAGAGTTACAGTTTAACTCCATTCTCTGGATCCTGGCTGAGCTGTCAATTCTTCGAGTGAGACGAAGTGAATGCCTGAGCTGATCCTGGCTGATGCCCAGAGCTCCTTGGGCAGAGCAGGGTAAGGAACTAATAGGACAAGCCAAAGCTTTGTCTGGAACAAGCTCAAGCTAGGAGATCTTCATAGAATATCATAGAATATGTTTTGATATGTTTTGTATAAACAATCTAGAGGTGGGACTTAACCGAAGGTGAACCAAGCAAAACAAAATCCGCGCAGGAGGAGATCTAAAGCTCAAGCGTATTTACTACAGTAATGCAAAAAACATGTTGGTGTGATACTGGTTTCAAAACGGATAAAGTATTTGTTTCCAGCCGCGGAACAAAAAGATAGCGTTCCTTCTTCCAGTTCTGAAAAATGACAACACTTCTCGAGTCTTGTTTGTGGTCATGCAGCCTTCTTTGCACGGTTTTGACTGTCATGGGAAAGATTCAGGCCCAAAGGAAAAATCTGGTATTGCAGCCTGTCTCTGTCCATCACCAAATTTTGGATTTGGAGCAGGTCTTCTCCTGGTTTTGACATTGAGGAGTTCATGGATTCCTAGAGAAACGTGTTTTTACCTGCATCACAGTTGATTGAAATAATTCATAAACACCAAAAACATTCTTGGAAACCATGTTGCAGGCATTGATGGATCTCTAGAACGCCCTCCGCAACCAAAGTAACCGCAAAAACAAACGGGTGTTTTAATTCATAGTTCGATTTTTTTTAAAATTATTTGCAGATGCATGCACGTTTACGAGCTGAACCTGGGTTGCACGTTGAATGATTTCTCAATCTCACTTTGTCCCAAATGAAACTGGTTTGGAAAAATGAGTGTTGAAATCTTGTTTTGTTATTTGTGACGAACCCCGAAAAGAGACAAATAGACGCATATACTATACTTATATGTTTGTATGCTTATCAATGTTGTGTGCGCAAGGGAGTGCTTGCGTGCCTGTGCATGCATGCATGCATGTGCAATGTGATAGTCAACTGGAACACGGTCTCAAATACATACAATACGATCGAAAAAAGACGGCATTATTCACAGCAGCGATGTGCTAACCCACCCAACTTGAAAACCGTAAATCGTAAAACTAAAAACTACTGAGTCCTTGCATGTCCAACAAGTGTCAGGGTCGTCCTTCAGTACATAGTTTGTTTTGTGTGAGTGCATGGCTTGGGCAACATGGGTGCCAGCTGGTCATTTTCCTGAGGACTGGCCGTGATAGCGAAGGTGATGCAAGCAGAAAGGCAAAAATCAGATTTTACCGAAGGCCAGGAGGTTCAGCGTGGAAGTACTCCGGTGACCGGTGACATCCGGTGCCCGCCGCCCTAAGATCCCTAAGTCTGTTTGTTTCAATCAAGGGCAACTTTTTGATGCCTGGCCTATAAACCTTTCAAGGATGTCCTTCGTTCGTTTCACAGACACTTTTTTCATGGATGTTGGCGCACTACTGGAAGGTTCCTATACATATCATCAGGCGTGCGCAATGTATATATTTGAAAGACCCGAAACATCCCGATCATTTGGACCCATTGTCAGGTGCCAGAACAGATTTTGACAAGTCTTTGGAAAACTCCATGGATTGCCCAGATACAACACATTGCTTTTATTACGCCTCCAATGTTTGTCTTGCTTCCTCCAGGTTTATAGAAGAAAGAGTGAAACTTAACAGGGAAGACGAGGACGAATGGGAGCTGACGCACCTTCCAATTCCCAAGCACTACCAGGGCCTCTACCAGCCTGGACTGTTCGACGTATGTGGACCGCCGCTGAAATATTTCATGCCGTGGGCAACCGCTGGTTGCTTCGTAGCCAGCATCCTGGTGCCTGTGCTAGCTGTCGCATCATCACACTGCGAAGGGAAGCATGAGATGCTGGCCACATACCCATACTGGTTGTGGCTTCCTTTTTTCTTATGGGTGGCAATCATGGTGCTGCTTGATCCTCGGCTGTCACTTTTGTTTCTTTCCCTCCACCCTGTGTAAAGTTACCATGGATAACTAGAGTCGCTACAAAGGTTGCAAGTTCAACACTGAGAAATGCTCGTACGGGTACCTCACAATTTCTCTCGGATAAACGCCCACAGACCAGGAGTGGAAGTGCTTTACCTACCTTGTCATTCCAGTGATCGCGACTTCAGGGCCCAAACGAATCTTGTGGTTTAAAACAAGTTTCAAATGCTGGACGTGCTGTTCCATCTTCTTGAGCGTCGTCATGCAGGCTGAAGTCTGGTCACAGGGACTTCTGGCAGCCAGCGCAATTCGGGCATCTCTTGATTGCAAAGGCAGCGGGGGACGGGTAGGGGCACATTGGCATCCCGACGCACCGTGTGGGAGACCACTGCAGCAATTTGAGAGATAATTAGAAGGTGGAGATCATTACTCAGCTCACAGATTTTGTTCGTGCCCTGAACGCCCAACTTTTTTCAAACATTATGTAAATGAAAAAAAACGCAAAAAGGATGCTAACAGCAAAACATTAAATCAATACATCAGTGTTACATTCTTTGATGAACTAGTTTATCATAAAAATGTACCAGTAATAGTAATACCGCGCAAGGCGGTGGCGGAAGTTTCAAAGAGGAAACCTATAGGAGAGGTGAGTTTTTGCCATGCATGGATGGCAGAGCGAACCCACTGATAGACCGAAAGGTGGTTGGAGTTGTGCTTTTTGAAGTGGTTGCAGTGGTCACTGGCACACCTGCTGGATGTGGTGTAGTTGTAGTGTAGTTGTAGTGTAGTGTAGTGTTTGGGGGATTGGGGGGATGGTTAGCAATAGGCGGGGGAAGGGTGTTTACTGTAAATGTGACAAAAGTTGGGCGTCAGGGCATAGACAAGATGGGAGAGCTTAATCCTACTGTCCTAACTGACGTGGCCTCATGCAATTTGCAGATTCTGCCTTTGCTCCGCAATTCCCAGCAGCATGTGTTCTGCGTAAGCTGCTTAGTGCATGGGTCCCGGAAACCGACAAGCTTTTCATCCCATTTCCAGGATGGAGAGAAACACTTGAACCAGCGTGGTCAAAGGCTTGGAACGATTCCAGTTGGAAACCGTTTGAGCTAGGCGGAAACTTGTTGGCTTTGGCAGGCGGGGAGAGTGTCAAAATAGATTCGAAGAAAGTTTTCTGATCATCCATCATTTTCACTGATTTTTCACGCCAGAACTCTGTTGATCACGCCAGCCAGGCAGGTCAGGAGCAGATGTGTTGTGAGGGCAATAGCTCTCCTTGGCTCTTGACTGAGCTGGCAGTAGGGCCTCGCATGGCGGATCCCAAACACAGGTATCCCACTAAAGTAGATCCCTGACATGTGCCACCCCAGTTGCTCCAGAGGTCTTGCTTGGTGTTTCCTTGTGGTCCAGCTGGTTGTCTACATCTTTAGGGCTGTTCCCACGAAAGTGATCAAATGTGAGCGGGTGGATTATGGATGTGGTGCAGAACCACATGGTTACGCCGTCCCTTTTTGTTGGATGCGAGTCTGGCATGCTGATGCCATGAAGACGTTGGCCAGTCTCAATAGAATGGTTTTTCTTCTGGACGGTCAGACTGAATATGCTATCAAGCGTGCTTATTTCAAACTCGTCTCAGATCCAGAGGAACGTCCTTACACCTTCTTCCACGTCCTCAAGATGGACATGCGCATCATGTTGTTTGATGCATTTTTCGTAAACCTCCTTCAAAATTGCGCAAAACTCCAATTCCAAACCAGCTACATTGCCTTCCTGATGTACGCAAACCTTGCGGCCAATGATGCTCGGTGTTACAGAATGGTTTCGGGATGTTTTGGTTGATTTATGTTTTGTGGATGCGTATGTTTTGTATACTAGATTACTTAGGTTGGAATTCTGCTTCACTGGCCTGAGATACGGATACGAGCATGTCTTTCCAGAGCCTGCCTATTTAATTAAACCGCTTTGATCCACTGCAGGTGAACGTAGAATGGACGCTGCTTTCGCTGTTCCTGACGCATATGACCAGCGCGGTGTCATTCTTCGTGAAGTTGAGAGAATGGGCGATGTCGCGGGACAGCAGAATATTGGTGCGCAAGGACAGTGATCTGTCAGTGGGTGTGCCCAGCGTTGAATGTTTGAAGTCACTGGAGGCCTTTCCCAAACGTCGTTGTACAAATTTCAAAACAGCAGCAACACTATCCACCATCAGGGGCAAGGTATCATTGATAGGTTCAGTACACTCCTTGAGAATAAACATGACTACAACACTGAGTGTCTCCAAATTTTAACCATGGGATCCAGAAATCGCAGAATTGTGGGTAACATGGAATAATTTTTAACAAAAATTTATGAGTGGGGGTTCCACATTAAACATGATCATGCCTGGGGCTTTCCGCCTTCGAAAATTAGATTGAACGCGCAATGGCGGAAATTTTATTGAAATTTTCACATCAGCCACTCTGGCAGAGTGACTGAGTGGCTGAGTGGCTCCTCCAGCCACTCTGGCAGAGTGGCTGAGTGGCTGAGTGGCTCCTCCAGCCACTCCGGCAGAGTGGCTGAGTGGCTGAGTGTCTGAGTGGCTGCTCCTCCAGCCTCTCCGGCAGAGTGGCTGAGTGGCTGAGTGGCTGCGTCGGCCACTCTGGCAGAGTGGCTGAGTGGCTGAGTGGCTGAGTGGCTGCTCCAGCCACTCTGGCAGAGTGGCTGAGTGGCTGAGTGGCTCCTCCAGCCACTCCGGCAGAGTGGCTGAGTGGCTGAGTGTCTGAGTGGCTGCTCCTCCAGCCTCTCCGGCAGAGTGGCTGAGTGGCTGAGTGGCTGCGTCGGCCACTCTGGCAGAGTGGCTGAGTGGCTGAGTGGCTGAGTGGCTGCTCCAGCCACTCTGGCAGAGTGGCTGAGTGGCTGCATCAGCCACTCTGGCACAGCGGCTGAGTGGCTGAGTGGCTGCGGCAGAGTCATGAATCAATGAAATGGACGGATAAAGCTTTAAACATTTCAATATCCAAGCAAGAGTATATATATATAATTACATATATATATATATATGACATTGACAGCAACTTGATTTACAAACATAACCCTGTAAACTTCAACTGCCATAGCTACATAACTTCAACGGATTGATTAAGAACAGCCACATATACACTTTGAACCATAACCTGAAATCACTTAAAAAGAAAGAGAGTGGTGATGAACTCTACAAGTTCAGGATTGGAAACAACTATTACAACGACTATTTGGTGAGCAAAGAATGGCTATGGTGTGCTGTAACCAGAGCAACAGATTTCAATAATGTATATTTTTCAAAAATGATAATTACAGCCGACGAAGATATGTTTAAGAATTTGGTAGTTAACTATTTTAAAAACAAGGTTGAAGGTCACAAAGGACAAGACAGAAAAGGAGGAAGAGAAATAGTTGATGAATACATTGATGACCATGTTTGAAGATGTTCAAGGGTTGTTGTGCAAAGTGTGGAGTTAAATTTAATCTTGATACCAGAGGTGGCAAATTATCAAGTAACTTTACGGCGCAGAGAGGTGATAATGGACTGTGCCATTCTATTGACAACAGCGAGGCTTATTGTTGCCACTGCAATTCTTCTTCACATTAGATTTTTTCAAAATAATAAACTTAATAAAATATTGGTATGAGTAAGCAAGAAATCATAGGAAACATATGTTTTTATAAAGCAGGGTTTGGTTCCAAAAACACTACTTTGAAGGATGCAAGAGAGAAAGACAAATCTATTACTTTGAAAGATGTTGAAGATTTTTTCGAAAAGAGTGTAGAGATAAAAATGAACCCGAGAGGCTATAACAGCTTTGTTGTTCCACATAACAATCATAGATACCTAATACCAAGTTGATATATTCTTTATTTCCAAAAAAGATTTAAAGGTAAAACAAAGATACAGAGCTGGATTAGTCTGTATTGATTGTTTGAGTAAGTATGGTGTCGTAGTCCCAGTAAGAAGGAAAGAGACAGGCAGTGTTATTCAAGGAACAAAGAAAGCGATAGAGAAGATGGCAAAGAAACCTGAAATCATATACACCGACGACGAGAAAGCTATAGCAAGTGGTGAATTCCAAGCATATGTAGAAAGCGAAGACCGAATTGTATAGGACAAGAGGCCATCCTGCTTTTGCCGAGCGTTTTACAAACAACTTTTAAAGACAAATTATGCAAAAGAGTTGAGAACGATGAAAAGAATAAAAAACGAATATACAATGGATAGACTACATAGATGAAATTGTGTTAACTTACAATAATAAAGATGTGCATTCCGCTACTGGTCAAACACCGTATAAAGCCAGAGATACAGACAATGAATTCAAGTCAAGATTAAACATTGCAATGAAAGCAAAGAAACAGAGGCTCTATCCTGAACTATTTGTGGGAGACAGAGTAAAAATCAAAAGGAAGAAAGCAACAACGGAGAAGGAGAGAACCTCACACTTTTTGAAAGGTGAGTATACCGTAGAGTCCATTGATGAAAAATTGAATCAAACATATTATACATTAGAAGGATACAATAGACCACTATTGAGGCATGAATTGCTGAACATATAAATTACCATTTATAGGAAGTCTACTATGTCATTCAGTGATACAAGTAGTGAACGTGAAATCAATCAAGAAGAATACATCAAACAAAAAATCTTAAGCTGTAAATGTAGTGAATATGCAACAATAAAATGAATTATAAAAAATAATTTTACCGATGGTATTGGTAATAAAATTTGTGAATATGTAGCCTGTAAAAGTTGCTCAAATATAATGAGTCATTTTGATTCAATTGAAATTGATATTAACCCTTGTGACGATGATGATATTGATGAACAAATTCAAATTTACGTTTATAATACTTTAGTGAATGAAATTCCAGATGATAAAATGAATTTAGTATTAAATGAAAAAGAGATAAGACATTATCAAGATTGTGGACAAGGATTGAAACATGTTGTAACAAATCATATTCTACGGTTGCATTCTGCATGTTAGAAATGAATATTAATGATGCTGATTGTATGGATGATAACTTTAATCATGAAACCTTTATAGATTGCTTAAGAAAAATATTGTTGCATATCAAAGACAACGAACAGTTTATTGGAAATACAATTATAGACGAGAATAAGTTTGACAAAGTGTATGAAAGAATACAACAAGGAATTTATATTTGAATCCCATAAATTTTCATATCAGATAATATGTGTTTTTTTAATGGCATAAGGAAATACACTTAAAATTGAAAGGATAATACCTTATAATAGTATGGAGAGTAGAAAGTGCACAAAGTGTAAGAAAAACAAAAATGGTGACGAGTTCAATGGAATGAATAGAATGTGTATTGAATGCTTGGACAAACAAAAGGAGAGTAACAAAGTATATAATCAAAAGGAAGTATTCTGCGACATTCGCCAACGGAATGTGAAACAATGCAGGTTGTCCAAACATGTCAAAACCGACAGCCATTCCAGCAAGGAAAAACTCAAAAAGGAAGAAGAGAAAAAACAAACATATATGGAGGAATACTTAAAAGATGATGAAGCCAGAATTACAAAATTGAAACAAATCTGGAAAACCATTAATGTTGACCCCGGATTAATAAACCTCCCCCCCCCCTATAGGTCAACTAGGTCAACAAGGTCCAGTGAGGAGGTCCAAAAACCGAACCCCCCAAATAATGTGACCATTCATTCATCCATAAACGATTATTATAAGATTCCTATGGGAAACGATTGGAAAACCTATGGTAAACAATCAAATTCCTATGGGGAAACATTAGAAAATTAATGATAAACCATCAGATTCCTATGAGAAAAGGTAAGAAAACCTATGATAAACCATCAGATTCCTATGAGAAAAGATGAGAAAACCTATGATAAACCATCAGATTCCTATGGGGAAACATTAGAAAATTAATGATAAACCATCAGATTCCTATGAGAAAAGATGAGAAAACCTATGATAAACCATCAGATTCCTATGAGAAAAGATGAGAAAACCTATGATAAACCATCAGATTCCTATGAGAAAAGATGAGAAAATCTATGATAAACCATCAGATTCCTATGAGAAAAGATGAGAAAACCTATGGTAAACCATCAGATTCCGATGAGAAAAGACCTATGGTAAACAATCAGATTCCTATGAGAAAAGATGAGAAAACCTATCGTAAACCATGGGATTCCCATGAGAAAAGATGAGGAAACATATGTAATACCATCAGATTCCTATGAGAAAAGATAAGAAAACCTATGGTAAAGCATCAAATTCCTATGGAAAGATTTGAAAATTAGTGGTAAACCATCAAATTCCTATGAGAAAAGATGAGAAAACCTATGGTAAACCATCAGATTCCTATAAGAAAAGATGAGAAAACCTATGGTAAACCATGGGATTCCCATGAGAAAAGATGAGGAAACATATGTAATACCATCAGATTCCTATGAGAAAAGATAAGAGAACCTATGGTAAAGCATCAAATTCCTATGGAAAGATTTGAAAATTAGTGGTAAACCATCAAATTCCTATAAGAAAAGATGAGAAAACCTATGGTAAACCATCAGATTCCTATGAGAAAAGAGGAGAAAACCTATGGTAAACCATCAGATTCCTATGAGGGAACGTGAGGAAACCACGCAAAAACCATCAGATTCCTATGGGAAAAGGTTGGACAACTAGTGGAAAACTATCAGTTTCCTATGGAGAAAAAAGAAAACCCTTGGTAAACCATAAGCTTCCTATGGAGAAAGAATAGAAATTAAATGGTAAACCATCAGAATCCCATGAGGGAATGACAGAGAGTCAGTCACCTCTTCCCAACATGATGAGCCAACCCACAAAAAACCTCTGAAACCAATGTGTTTGGCAATAGCGCGGCTTCGACCTAATGAAAGCACAGCTCTTGCAATGAAAGAGAGTCACCTCTTCCCAACATGATGAGCCAACCCACAAAAAACATCTGAAACCAGTCTGTTTGGCAATAGTGCGGCTTCGACCTACTGAAAGCACAGCTCTTGCAATGAAAGAGGGCCACCTCTTCCCAACATGATGAGCCAACCCACAAGAAACCTTTGAAACCAGTGTGTTTGGC